CGAGGACGTGGCTGTCAGACCAAACACTGAGCAAGGTTGTCGCAGAGCGGGGAGGTCCCCCGGGGGCCAGTGGGACGGTAACCCTCTGTGGCAAGGCTGGCTCTATGCAGAAACAGGAAAATGTCGTGTGTGTGTGTGTGTGTGTGTGTGTGTGTGTGTGTGTGCGCGCTATGTGCATGAATGTGCATGCATGGTGTGTGTGCAGGTGTTTTTGTGTCTGTGCAGAGCCACACGCACACATACCCCACAGAGGTGAGGCAGTGAGTGGAGGAGGTGCACGCAGAGCCGGCGTGTTTTCAGCAATGAGTGCTGGTTTTGGCATTGATGCCCTTCCGAGGACGCTGACACGTATGGACTCACATACAGCACCCGTCCCATCACCATGGCAGGGTTGGGGATGATGACCATGGCCCTGTCCCTTGCTGCCCACCAGGCCACTCTCCCCGGCTTCACCTCCCTCCAGCCCTCCCCGCCATGCAGACGCTGGAGCTTGCCATTCACACGCGGTTTCCCAGGTGCCTCTTGGGCTTCCCAGCCCGGGGTCCTGGTTCATCTACCTGCCTCTAATTCAGGCTTTCTCCAGCCCATTCTCTGCCCAGCTGCCCGAGGGCTGTTTCTACAATCTCAATATGACTGAGTTACCATGCTGCTTAAAACCTACCCGTGCTCCTTGCATCCTCCACAGGCCCCACTGACCCTCGGGACCCGGGGGCACCGCTCCTAGAGCCTCACTCCTGCCCCTGCTGCTGGCTGGCCCCACAGTGCCCTGAGGTTCCAGAGCCCACAGCGTTGCAAGGACCACATCCTCTATCTGGGGGGCACGTGCATGTACACACAAATGCCGCACACACATGCCCACACATGAACACACACAATGCATGCATACATATGCACAGATGCACACATGTGTATGCAGCACACACATGTATATGCGTGCACACATGCACGCACACGTGCACACAATACACTAACACACACACAAATGCATGAATACACAGGCACTTATACATCTACACATGCACTCACCCACGTGCACCACTCACACACATGCATATGCACCCACATGCACGTACATGTGCCCACACGTGCAGACATGCATGCAAACACATGCACGTGTACCTATACACACATATGCATGTCTACCCATGCACACAATACACACATGTATGTGTATATACCCATACATATATGCACACACACATGCACACAGGTGCACACACACACACATACACACGTACTCCTTCCCCCCAGAACCTCCTCCCCACTCTCCGCCCCCGCACCCAGAGCCGCTGTAGGTTTGCATGGTCGTTACTGCTGCACCGCTGTGCCTTCCACAGGCCCCCCCCGACCCCAATATTTTATTTACCTGTCTGTCGTCAGGAGTGGACATGTCTGTGAGTGAACTTGGAATGAGTGAGTGCAGCTTGCTGTGGAGGCCCCTGTGGGTGTGGGTGTACTCCCTTGCCTTTCGGGAACCTCTCACCACCCCCGCCCCCAATCCCCCCGCCCCGCCCTGCCCCAGGACACGCTGACTGAGATCTCCGAGTGGCTGAAGAACCACCCCCAGGAGGTGGTCATCCTGGCCTGCAGGAACTTCGAGGGGATGACAGAGGACCTGCACGAGTACCTGGTGTCCTGCATCAAGATCATCTTCGGGGACATGCTGTGCCCCCGTGGGGTGAGCCGGGGTGCAGCTTGCTTCTCCCACATTGGGCGAGAAGGTGGCGGGGATTTACTGGGATGCCAGCAGTCTCCTGTGGGGTGACCGCATTCATCCCTGGCGGTCAGGGAGGTGAACGGGTCTTCTGGGTTCCCCCATGAAGAGGGGCACTGGGCTGGCCTGGCACGGGCCATTTTCACATCCACCATGTGACTGGAGGCTGACCCCGTATTTGGAAAATTCCTGTTGACACAGGCGGACGGAACCATATGGATGAGTGGAAGGGCTGCACATTCACACTCTGGGTTACCCTTAGGGCTTGTTGAGGGCCCTGGTGGCACAAAAGGTTCAGCACTCAATTAACTAACCTAACAGTTGAGGATCGAACCCCCAGTGCTGTCGAGGAAGAAAGACCTGGCAACCTACTTTGGTAAAGATTACAGTCAAGAAAACCCTATGGAGCACAGTTCTACCCTGTAACACACAGGGCCGCCACGAGTCGGAACTGACTCGATGGCAGTGGGTTTGGTTTTTGGTTTGGAAGGCTTGTTAGAAATCAGCTCAGCAATTTGGTGCTTCACACCCACCCACGGGGGACCACGTGTCTGGAGTACATTCTCTGTTCTGTTGGTGCTGATGACATTGTCCTTACTTGATATCTACCAGTACCAGAGTCACCCCCGACTCATGATGACCCCACATGTATCAGAGTAGAACTATACTCCACAGGGTTTTCAGTGGCTAATTTTTTGTAAGTAGATTGCCAGGCTTTTCTTCCGAGGCACTTCTGGGTGGACTCGAGCCTCCAACCTTTTGGTTAACAGACGAGCACGTTCACTGTTTGCACCCCCAGGGACTCCATTTGATCTCTGGGAAGCCTGACGAGTTAAGTCCATGCTCACACTTGGTTGAGGTTGTGTTAATCAACTTCAGACCTTGTATACCTGGCCCTTGTCCAGTTGCATCCTATACGACTAACAAAGAGAAACCCAGTCCTAGTGTCTGCGTGCTGAGAGAGCAGAGAGCACGGCTGTGAGAGATGGTGAGATCTAGTTGCTTAATGCTCCCAGCAGAGGGAAACAAACCAGTAGCCAACGTGTTGACTCTGACTCCTGGTGACCCGGCGCGTGTCAGAGTAGAACGGTGCTGCACAGGGTTTACAATGGCTGGTTTTTTGTAAGTAGATTGCCAGGCTTTTCTTCCAAGGCACTTCTGGGTGGACTCGAACCTCCAAGCTTTTGGTTAGCAGGTGAGCGAGTTCACCGTTTGCACCACCAGGGACTCCGCAGTTTGGGATGCACCAATCGGTAGCTCAACCAAGATCTTTGATAGTGGACTGAGGTTACTAGTGGAGGGCTGGAGGCGTGGAAGCGTGACTCACCCCTTTCAGAGCCCACAGGCTCTGTTCCCGCCCTCAGCGGTGCTCTCTCAAAATGAGTCACGCGGGCTGGGGGCTGTGCAGGTTTACCGATGTGCTGGTACCTTCAGGACTTGGTGAAGTGGGGTTGGTGTCTGAGGCAGCACCCCACCTTCCTGCTCCCATCTCCCCCACCTTCCCGCTCCCGCCTTCCCGCCACCTGTCCCCCCACCTTCCCGCTCCCAAACCCCCGTCTTCCCGCCCCCGCGCCCCTAACACCGCTGCCCTCCAGGAGGTGCCCACGCTGCGGCAGCTGTGGGCGTGTGGCCACCAGGTGGTCGTCTCCTATGAGGACGAGGGCTCCGTGAGCAGACACAGGGAGCTGTGGCCAGGCATCCCGTACTGGTGGGGGAACAAGGTGAAGACCAGCGACCTCATCCAGTACCTGGAGTTCAAGAAGAGCGTCGGGCGCCCAGGTGGGTCACGTGTGTTGTGTGCTGTAGTCTCTGTTCGGAAATCGAGAAAGATGGGAAACTGGGGAGAGAGGCAGGAGGAAGGACTCGGCGGGCCGTGGAGTATAAGAAACGCAGCCTCTCTCCCTCTGCCTCTCACTGTTCCAGACCAGCTGTTTGTGGCGGGCATCAACCTCACGGAGAACCTGGTGTACCTGCTCACGCACCTCTCTGAGTCCCTGCAGACGATGACATTGCCCAGACTCCCGTGCCTGGAAGCCTGGGTCCGAGAGCAGTGCCCGGGGCCCGGCTCCCGCTGCACGAACATCATCGCGGGCGACTTCATCGGTGCAGACGATTTTGTCAGCAACGTCATTCGGCTCAATGACAAGCTGCTGAGGTTCTGACCTGCTGCTTCGTGTGTCCAGTACGTGGTGACCGTCAGTCACCGAGGCCCTCTGTGGAGTCCAGTACACAGCAGCTCCGAGGGCGACCCTCAGTCCTACAAGTTTGGCACCATTTTTGTGACCAAAAGCCAGCAAGGACAACCGGGGTCCTGTGGGGTCTTTGTGGGGTCTGCTCAGCCTCCTCCTGCCTCCCTTGCATGGAGCCTTACACTGGCAGTGGTCCGAGTTTCTGCACTGGGATGGAATTAGTATATATGCGGATGATTAAAGATGATACAACAGCATCTTGGAAGGAAGAAGGACCTGTAGTGTGGGGTTCTGTCCTTCTGGGGTTCATCCCGTCTGTGCTGCCGTTACTGAGGAGAGGGGCTCATCAGGCGACCTCTTTTGAGTGGCTTTGAGAGCATCAGCATACCATTTGGGTAGCTCCAAGGGCCTGCTAACATGCTCAGTGCTCAAGATTATTATGCTGGTTGGATAGGACTGAGAGCGCTGGAATCCTACTGAGAAAATAAAAAAACAACAAAGAATAATAATTCCAACGAAATCAAGGACTGTTCCCTTTTTCTCAGTCCAGCAGGCTTCCTAGCAGCTTGCTGGTTTTAGTTCAGTTTTTCCAAGTGTTAACAGGAATGAATTTAATGGAATGTTCAAGGAGTTTATTACAAACACGGAAATGACTGGCAGTGTTACAGAGAACGGCATTGAGTATGTGTTTCCCTCACACTTCCCGGGGGCCTCTCTCTGTAATGTTTTCTTTACTGGGGTAAGAACACAGGTGGAGCAGGTGTAACACAGGTATAACACGTGTATAACGGGCCCTGCTCCAAGCCCTTGCTGTGACCTTGCTGTTACAAGTTGTTTTCTCGTCCTCATGACTGTCCCTTGGACACTGCTCATGTCTTCCCTGGGGTAAGAACACGGGTGGAGCAGGTAGAACACACATATAACGAGCCCTGCTCCAAGCCCATGCTGTGACCTTGCTGTTCCAAGTCGTTTCTCGTCCTCACAACTGCCCCTTGGACTCTCCCCAGTCTTCTCTCTCACCTAGCCACTTCAGACAAGGTTCCCTGACCTTCCTCCTTTCTCTGCCCAGTCGTTCCAGGCCCAGGTGCAGTGGCTGCATTGCTCCCTCTGGTGCGGACTGAAACTCAAACCTCTTGTCCTGACTCTCATATTTTTGCTCTCTTCACTGCACCTGTGATTCTCTCCTTCCTCCCAAGGCCACAGCTTGGTGTTTGTCAGTTTTCCAACTTTCTTTCCCTCCTTTTGTCTCAAGGGCTTGTGGCAGACTGGCCATTTTCCAAGGAGGTTTTGCTCTGTTTTCTGACATCAGGGGTTCAGGTTTCAAAAACTAAAAAAGATCCCAGAAATACCTCATTTTCTACATGTAGATTTTAGAATCAGTAATTTAAGTTTTTGGCCAAGTAGTGGACACTGATCATCATTCCTATCTCACTTCCTTCTGAAGACAGGAGCTGGGAACTCTTCTATGGCTCATGTTCTGGAATATTCCTCGTATAGTGGAAGCACATTAGACATTAGGTTTTCTTAGGAGAGTATTAAAAATGACTATTCAATCCATGTTGGAATGAATTCTCTTTGCAATTCAATTAGTCATTTTCCAAAAGAGAATCTGTTTTTGTCTTTGATCCCTTAAATGAAAGTACCTGGAATCCAGAAAGACAAACTTGGGGACCATATCCCACTAGCTATCTCAGACCCGTGACTCTGCTGGGTCAGGCTCCCCAGAAGAAATGAACTCGATGCTCAGGAAGAACAAGTCGAAGATGAAGAAACATGTTTTAACGAGAAGTCTGTGACTTAATGACCATCATTTACCTCTGAACCTGTATCACAATTACCCCAGATCTGCATCAGGAACTATCCAACATGCATCATTCAATTCTACAGAATAATTAAAGGAAATCAAAGTCAGATATGTGTATAGGTTTTTATTACAACACAGGAAGCTTCATTGTAAAACCCAGGAAGGATCATTAGAAAACGTTAGGTCATTTGATACTTTTTGCAGGTCATAGGGGGTTTAAAAGAAATCAGATCGTGCCTTCTTCCTCTTAAGTTTATTTTTGTGATACAAATTCAAGAAGTGAATCATATTTTTGAATCTCTTAAGTATTTTAAGCTGTTCCATGGGGACATTAAGCAGAGGTTCTGTATTTAACATTCAAGATGAACTTTCGAGACTTTTGTATTTGGGGGGATGTGTTATCCTAAGGGGAAATATCCCTCTGGCAGGGCATGGCCTCCTGGTCACCTGCCTGGGCCGCGGCCCTGGAAGAGGCACCACCTCTTGTCCACCTACAGGTGGCCTCTACAGGCCTAGCCCCCTTCTCGTTAACTCTCAATAAATGCTGCCGAGTGAGCGACGGGCTGTCCACGGTCATGTCTTGGGTTGTCTTTCAAAATGACCTCATCCTCCCCATGACAGACTCGTGTTGGGGGCACCTGTGGGGTCTTCCCGTGTGAACCCTCCCACCCACACGGGTTTGCCCTCATGGCCCTGGGCTCCTGTGGGTATGGCCAGAGCGTGGAACTGGGGGGGGGGGTGTTATGGATTGAATTGTGCCCCCGCAAAATATGTGTTGTAAATCCTAGTCTCTATGCCGTGGTGGTAATCCCACTTGGGAATGGGTTGTCTTTGTTATGTGAATGATGCAGGATTAGTGTAGCCTGCGTTGTGAGTCAGTCTCTTTTGAGATATAAAAGAGATTAAACAAGCAAGTGAGAGAAGCAGAGATGGGGGAAGAGAGATGCCAAGCCACGTGGAGATCTCCAAGGAACCAGGAAGCAGAAGCTGAAGAGATAAGGACCTTCCTCCAGAACCGACAGAGAGAAAGACTTCCCCCAGAGTCAGTGCTCTGAATTCTGACTTCTAGCCTTCTAAACTGTGAGAAAATAAATTTGGTTGTTAAACCACCCACTTGTGGTATTTCTATTATAGCAGCACTAGATAACTAAGACGGGGTGGGGAGGGGGCGGCAGGGGGGAGCCCATCCACAGAGACGTCTTAGGAGTGTGTTTGTGTGTTTGTGTGTGTG